CCCCCCAAAAGGAAGAACGCGTACCACAAAAGGTAACTGAAGGGAAACCATCCACGCCTCAAAGTCGTCGTCCGAAAGAGCGAGCTTCTTGTCGAGCACCTTACGGTTAAAAGAGAACAGACAATCCATATCAAGACAAATATTTTAAGCTGATCTGTTCTTTATTTATCTCGTTCTTATAATGCTGAAGACAACTGAGATGACTTGCTAAGGTATGTTAGAATCACAGTTACAGATTGGCAGCCAGAAGCTGTAGCATGAAAAGTGGAAGCAACGCTGTTACACCACATTACTGTAGTTATACGAGCGTTTGAAGGTATATAAAAACAAGACTAAGAGCTGTAAAGCGCTGAAACGTAAGGTTGGCGGATTCAAAACCAGAAGCGTTAGCAAGGAGAGTAGAGGCGCTACCAATGCGCCACATTAACACACCTATGCGAGCGTTTTAAGGTATACATAAACTTGTATATAAGCGAGAAGAGAAATTGTAGCGGCACCGCTGCGGTCCCTTTCTCTTTGCCGCTTCCCTTTGTTTCCGTCCCTTTTCCGTTTGTTGCACTCCCCTCTACTGCCCTCTTCCTCAACTTTCCCTCCAAAAAACACTTAGCCAATCAGCGCGCTAGGTTCGTCAATCAACAAGAGTGCCGTAAGATCTTAATGGAGATATGAGAACTGCAACATTAAAAATTACCAAACGAGCAGCAGATCGATCAATAATGCAGTTGTACCCATTCAAATTGGATAAATTAGCTGATGAGGCTGTTCAACCGATCAACAGAAACAAACAGCGCAGTGACGTCACACCAGTGAATAACAGTTTCCTAAGGCGGATGCAATGATCACCTTAATCACAACCTGTTTAATATTCATTGTATATGAAAAAACACTGCGAGCCAGAAATCAATGCAAGCTCAAAGAAGACTGAACCTTAGTAAGCTAGCAAAAATGCATTGCCAGCGCAGTGGCAATAACTGTCGCAACTACCGAGAACTCTTTTAATTGGGAAAAAAATCTATTTCTCTACAGCGTCGCTAGTAGGATCCAAATTTTAGAGAAACTTTCTTGCCGCAAACGGTTGTGGTTGCCAACATTTGCAGTACCAGCTAGAAAACTATACAATTTTTTATGTCACTTAATTACTATATTTGCGTATCATAGAGGTACCTTTTACTGCTGTAGTATACTACATGTGGTTAACTAATAATATTTATCAACGCGTAGAGTTATAATATGAAAGACTTCTCAAAACGCTAGCTAGAACTCTTCAGAATACCGCAGATAAACACAGAGGATCAGAATAGAAACCGCTGAAGAAACAATAAAAAAAGCTGCCAAATGAGCACGTTATTAACTGGAACAAAGACTAATATAAATAAACAGAATGAATGGCAAGAGCGACGATTGAAGAAGCAGTTTGATAGAGAAACTAATTAACCGATCAACTAACGAGCTGACAAAGACTGACAACACTCTTAATAAAATTAAGTGATCCCGGCCACTTAGGTCGACGGCTTATATAAAGCACTTCAAGCAGACTAATCTGCTATCTACCCTCCAGGAACTTCTCCCAAAGAATGAACAGTGATGGTATCCTGTATTGCTGTGTTGCCTCTGGCATACTGTCGCGACTATAATTAAACAAAACCAGGACTATTGTTATTCTGTTAAAAATTGAGCAAACGAACAACTGCAAGACAGAAAATGTAAGAACAAGTGTCCATGTCATAGCTGGACTAAAAGTTGCTCCCACTATAAAGGAAAGTTACCGAATCTCCCTAATAAAACAAACAAAATAATAAGCAAACATTTTCCATCAAACATATGCTCTCTTAAACTTTCAGCAAACTGTGATGAAACATTGCATACCGGTAAGTTTTAGCAAACTGAATTGTATGATCACTCTACATAATTAACGGAAAATCTTCACCTGCTGTAAGCGCAAACTTTTGATAACAACTATTAATACTTGGAAGAGGAGATCAAACAAGGACCTTCACCTTCTGTGCGATTCAAAACGGGATGCTTCTACTCTTCTGCCGCTGATCAGACAGCAAGTTATTCCAGCAGTAAATATAAAGTCTGACTAAAGGGCGGAATATAGTAAAATCAAAGATATGCCGGAAGGATATTAGCATGAAACTGTCAACCACAGCCTCTGTTTCATTAATCCTGAGACCGGTGCTTGCACAAACATCACTGAGTTTCTACGGCAAAAATTTAAACAGAGCTATAAATCCAGATATGGGATAGAGAGAGCATCTTTACAATCCTACATGGATGAATTTGGAAAAAAATGCAGAAGGACAAGCCTTATACCAACTTTGGTCATAAATTGCGGGACACCATCCACCGCCTTGTAGCGCTGTGTAAATGAGGGCTTTTTTAATTGGTTCCCAATCAATCAGCAGGCGGTCGTTCAATTTTTGGAAAACCCTTCACTTGAAAAGCACTAATCGAGATTTACTCCTTGATCTCAAAAATAAAACAGGAACTGGTGTTTTAAAGTGTGCTAAAGACGCGTGGAAGTTACCCCTCCTCAAAACGAACACAAACCACCAATCCCTAACCAATGTCCCACATCACACAACACTAAACATTGCACCACTAGAGCGAGTTGTATCTCATCAATCGCCCTACCCTCCTATTGCTGCAAGAGATCAAACCCATTCGTAGTTCCTCACTATTACCACCGTTGCCAACTTACCTCATACTTGGGTGTTCAAACAATTTTTGCATCACTGACGTGACGTTATCGATTCTAAAGTCTTATACTACTGTACTATACTCCTCAGCAACCGCTCCACCTTCATATTCTTACAAAAGGTCAAAACCATTTATAATGTCTCAATCTTGTTTTTAAATCTCCTAATGGAAAGTGTATCCTTCCTGCAGCAGAAGAAGACTCAGCATCCCCCCAAGCCGTGGTTGACGCGGTCGGCATGTCTCTTCGACTGCTTCAGGCTGCGATGGGAGCGACATCGCTATATTTGCAGATTTTGCTCACAGTTCACAACACTGATACATTAGTTATCGCTGTAACTAAAGGTCTTGTTTTGGTAGAAAAAAATTGCCAAAAAAGAGCAGAAAGCACTTCTGTGAGCAAAAAAAACTTATGGAAAGAAACAGTAGGAGTCTAGACGGTAAATGGGAGGCCTGCTGTTTAAAAATTTATGTGACTGTTAATTCATTCTTGTCGTACAGAGTTGCACATGGTAAAAAAGCTGTATTTTTTCTATTTGGAAGCGGTCAGTTGTTTACATTCAAAAGGGGTTCCAAGCATTTCAAACTCAAGGAATACACAAAGGTCTAATGAAAAAGAAAACTAGTACTGCTACGTCGCTAAAATTAGTGCTCTGGGTAAAAAACAACTCAAAAATGGTCCAAGTTTGTTTATGGAGATTGGTTCTTCGATGCACGACGGAGCTGAAACTTTTCGACTGATGGGTCTCTGCAGTTGCGTTTCTTGCTGAGAGCTGTAGCAAGTTTATTTTAAAAAGAGTTTTAAAAATATTTGCTAACAGACTAAAATAATTATGATTAAAATATATCGAGAATGTACAGCAATTCAGCAACACAAATTTACAGTGATATATAACACTGTGAATTCTATAAAACTGACAAAATCATAAGTTTTCAAGAAAAGGGAGAGTTTTTTCGTTTTATATTTTGAATTACCTGTGGTCGAAGCTTTTAAAATAAGAGCAGCTCCACTAAGGGTGTCATACTTTCCATTTAGTATAGTGAACAACACTACTGCTCTTAAGTTATTTGAAGCAGGTTTTGAAGCTTTGTTTAACAGCTGCAGAAATATTCTGATACGGGTAACAATAAAATAAGTAGTATAATTGCATCTGAAATGGCTAGTATATCTTGATCAAATAAAGTGAAGAATGAACAAATGGAAGCATGCAGAAGTCATTTTGGCAAACAAATGAACAGAACAAAAAAGTTAGCTCAAAATATTTAATTTGTAGTGACGTTCAAGTTTAGAGGATCTAAGAGTTTCACATTAAATAGACAGATTAAAAAAGTGCTTTGAGCGTATCGAGGAACTGTTTGAACACTACTAAAACCAAAAATTTGAATTCAAGGTTGATATTTTATGAGAGACAATAGCTACCGAACAATAAATGAAAAACAAAATTTTTTTTCATTTTTCTCCTTAACAACTGCAATGTTCAAAACTTATACTACGGTGAAAGCAAGTGGCATACTAGTATTCACTATATAAATTTATTACTACTCAATTTCATTGAGAGGCAAATTCTAACGGTTTCTAGTAACAGAACACAATACCTTAAAATTCAGAATGCAGTGCTTCTGTTTCGTCCTTGTTTAACAAACTAGGCGCCTGTTCTGCAAGCTTTTTGTTTTTTTTGTGCGGAAATAAATTATAAATAGATACAGCTAAAATCACAATTGTGCCACCAACAATAAATAAGATTGTAGGTTGAAAGCGAAATATGACTGCTGAAATAATGCATGAAACAATAACAGCAAACGAAGCAGCAAATGTTTTTAGTATATTATCCGTATATTTGATAACTGTTGCAACCATAAGGCCTCCGAATGCTGTTAGGAATATTGTAATCCACACAAGATAGTCAAAACCAATAAAAAAGCCTCTTTCTGCAACGTCATTGCCATCGCATGCCTGAAAAAAGTGTGACTTCCGACCAGCTCGTCGGTATTATATTGCTTTGTAGACAATTACAATGTTTTCTCTATCTCCTGATAAAATGACATTTTTGATTCGGTCAAAATAAAATTGAAAAAATTTACTATTGACGCTTACAAAAACGAGGAGAAGGCTAGCCGGAATTGAAATGATGCACAGTTGAATATTTCGAATGCACACTGACACTTCTTTTTTCTGCTTCAAAATTTTCTCCAAATAAACTCCAGCAAAACCTGAAGCTACAGTGAGGCAAACTGAGTGAGGTAAATGTAATTTTAAAAAAAACTACAAGCTCAAACAACTCAACTATGTAATATATGCACAAATTCAAATATACCTAAACCTCAGACCAGCAGCAAATAACGCACAAATTTTGAAAAAATCTGGTCATTAAAGAATTTTTTGGTGAATAACAATTTGTTCAATTTTCAGATCGTCTACAGACCAAGTGGGTCCAGCAAGTAAAAAATACTACTTTGTTAAAAAAACTCAAGCGAAAAAAAGGCTTTTCTTCGTCTTGGCTTACCGGAGAAAATACATATTGCAACTACAGCTCCCAAACCTAAAACTGCATTCTCTTCCTTGATATGCTTGTACACGGGAGTCGCCTGTAATTCTACGACATCTGAAGTTCTATTTAACGTCAATATTCGAGTTCCGTTTTGTATAAACCTTGTGTTGAAGAGTATGCTACGGCTTTTGTCAATTTTTTCATCCTAAAGTCAAAATCTTTAATTATAAAATTATTCAGAGAACCATGTGTTAAAACACACTATCTTATTATAAGCAGAGATGCCATCCTCTAAAAAAAAACTTCCCTCACTCTTCTTTCGCACAACGAGGCAGTAGAGAAAGTTCTGAAAAATAAACCCTTGAGGACAAAACGAACAAACGCGGAGGAAGGGGAATTAGAGATAGGAAAATACACTTCTCCTTAGTCGGAATCGACAAATAACCCTAATTTTGAATGAGGCTTCTCGTAAAGGTATAAAATTTCCAAACTCGCACAGTTTAATTATTATTTAGCAATTTTTTTGTAAACAGGACCTGCCAAAGTTGGAATCCTTGACAGTGAAAATCTGTTGAAGTTTCCATTTTTTTAACACTTAGGTGTTCAAAAATATTGAAAATCATAAAGAGGCGTTTTAGACCAATATAATGGCACTATTCTATCTGAGTGTAATCAGTTATCTTCTGTGGTGCGCATTAAAGATATGGGACCCCCGTAGGCAAAAAAATGCCATTTCAGAATCAATGTGCCTATTTCAATAGAAAGTGCTCCTATTAATTAAAACGGTTGTTCAAACCATTACCTTAAATTCTAACGCGCTTTTAAAAATGCCGTGTTTAAGAGTTAATCAACTACGGTATTTTTATATACTGTCAAGTAACCAAAAGTAATTGAAGTAGATTAAAGAAGACTCAGAAAAAGATTTTAAAAAAATCCTATAAAGCTAAGCAAAAGACACCGACTATACCATAGCCTACAAATTCTTCACCTTCGCACTGTGAAAACGAATTTAGAAAACCGCAACAATACTAATTCAGAAGCTTATATACAAGCTGACCAGTCTCATTCTACCCCCAGCACCATTTACTCTCCTTGTCATAATGGGTTTCGTGGCACGCAGCTTTTATTTATAACATTTAGGTTTTTCCTAAAACAGTTACTTCTGAAATTTGTGCAGGATAAAATGAAGTCCCACCACTAGTTCTTACCAAAACGTGAAAGCGTACTTCAGTCCTGTTAAAGCTTCCACATAGTGAAAGTAATTTTGAGGAAATACTAACAGCTATTTCTTGTTTTCTATTCACAATAATGTGATGGCTTCGTTTTAATACGATTACTTAAGCTAAATATGTAACCAGAAATATTAAAAACATCTCTTGCCCTTTTCCGAATTTTTATAAATGTTTAAAAATGTTGGAAGACAACAACAAGACTCTCTGAACAACAAACAGACTAAAATAATTCATTCCAGTCTTTCAGTTTCTGTTGACAAACCCGACTGCATAAGGCTCGACATTACCACAAATCTGCATTTCTTTTTCATGACCCACCGTCATTAAAAAGATATCTGTCGCTTGAAGCAATGTTGTAAAAGAATATTTTGTGATTTCCATGACCAAGTTCTTGTACGGCCGCTGGAAGGCAAGATAGCTACTTAGATTTATAGCAAAATTATTGCAGAGCATGTTAAAATAGGTATTGTGCGGTCAACTTTGTCTTTTACAATGACCGCCCCATATATAATTGGAGGAGGAGTTCCTGAGAAATTTTCGGAAAGACTCCTTCTCCAGAAGTAATGCAACAATAAAGATTTCGCTAAGGTCGTAACTTCCCAGCAGCCAAAGAGAAATTTCGGTTTCGACAACCCCCATTAAAAAATTAACGGTCTGTGCATGGTGAAGACAGCATAGTTGAGAAATTATGACTAGCAGTAAGGATTTAATCGTTATCAAAAATAGAGGGACACAGAAGTTAGTGGAGAGAATGATGTTATAATAAGACGTGTTTAAAAACGCGACGTCACGCCACTGTTAGAGAATGTTTAAGTTTGAGGTAACTGGCGCAATAGCGGTAAAGCCGGTAAAGCCATGAAGAGAGTGAGCTGATACAAAGCAAGCGGAACTTATTTAATAGTAGGAAGGTGCCGCCCCCCTTGGAGCAAAGTGTATCAGTTCATGGTATAGAGTGTGAAGAAAAGCTTAATAGCCCAACTTCATTTAATTCCTGTGGTATATGTCGTGCGTGCTACCTTGTCTTTTAAATGACAGCTGCTTCACCTTATTCCGCTGACCTCGGAAAAACTGCAAAGACGCCCTTCGTGTAGACAACTTTCCAAAAATAGACTCCTCTGTCACAGATAAAGAGCTTGTGTAGAAGACGCAGGGTTTTACGAAGAACCAAAATGTGATGAACGGTGATTCGCTGTTCAGCTCCGCAGATGGCAAAGCGAGTCACCTTTGAATATTTTCTTCCAGATAAATTTTTACACACATGATTGTAAAAGTGCCCTCTCCGTCCCATGACTTATGACCTTCATTGAACTTCTGCCATAGACACTCAGCGATGCTTGTACAGGCATCAGATTCAAGATCAGTAAAGCATGGGCTGTGGTCACTTCACTGATCTTCAATCTGGAGCCGATACAACCACCGTCTCCCGGCGAAACAAGTGCAAAAAGGAAGCAGAGCGAAACAGACAGAAAAACTGACCACTACAATATTTTTATTTAAAAAACATCTTGAGACACTCAAAACAAAAAATTTCAAATCAAGTACCTGCTGAATACTTAAAAACCGTTTCGGAGTTCTCCTCGTATTAACTTCCTGCTCGAGCAATTGGTACTGTTCCAAAAGACACTCACTTCTTTTTGTTGCAATCTTCAGGGGCAATTCAGAAGTGGAAAGGTCTATCTGTATAAATACGCATATACTGAACTGCGTTGCTACTCAATAATAATCTGGGCCATATGTGAAAAAGTCACACTTTCATAACAGACTTCGAGGTGGTAGCTGGTGTTCCTCTGTTTGCCAAAATTATACCTGTTCTGCATGAAGAAACACGTGCTAGGAATGAAAGCAAGAACAAAGCTATTTGAGCTTTGAAGCTTTTGTTTGAAAGAACAAATCTTTTGCCAAGCTTCTTACGACTCATAGAAAACGAACAATTCATGTTGAAATGTATTTGAGAAACTGTTTTTTTCTTTGATAATCCCTGTTTATGAAGCAGAAGTTGGACTGAGAAAACGACACTACCATACGATGTGTAGTTGACTTCACTGACCTTCGTATGGCAAAGAAGTGTTGAATATACCTGCATGCAAAGTAGAGAGGCTTGAAACGGGACTGAGAAGACAGAAAAATGACAGTTCGGTATCGCACCACAACGTCTAGGATAGCTAACCTTTTGAAGGTAACTAGGAGAAAATTATAAATAAATGTAAATAAAGGAGCATTGAGCGACGACTAATGTATATGAAGAGGCGTGGGGCCATGAGGACATAACTTCGCTGTGCTCCCTCCCTAATGTTAGCCCTTTCGTTAGCCGTTATCTCCTTCACTGTCCCTCTGTGCTAACTTTTTCGCCAGGAAGGCAGTTGGCCAATTAGTGGGTTGAAGGATGAGGGACCCTCAGTTTGAAAAGTTATTCAAAGATCTTTGTATATTCAAATTTCCACTGTGAATAGAAGTCATCGTTTTGTGAACCATGAACAAAGTTTTTTTCAAAATCAACATCAATTTAACTTTAATCTGATCTATTTGACACTATTCCCTTACCAGTTGAACCATTGCAATGCCTGGAACCAAGATTATCAGCGATGCCCACTGCATGATAGAAAGTTTCCTGCGTAAGATAAGTACTGTAAAGAAGGCGGCACAAAGTACTTTGAGCTGAATCGTCATCTGAAACTACAGTTTTTATTACGGCTGATAATTAATTTTCTCTTCAAAGCAACACGAATTCTTTTAAAATTTCCCTGTTGAGTTGAACCAGTACTAATATCTGTTCATCCATTCAAAACTGTGTGATACACCATCAAATTGCTTTTTCCAGTTTCAGTTGCAACATTTCCAAACTTTAGTGTAGCTAAGGAGATCTTGAAATACAAATTACTGATACTAGGATTTTTATAACGTTCAGAGAATCTGCGTAAAGAAGCCCCCCTGCAGTAAAATTTTAATAATATAGTAGATAAAAAAGAAACTGAGCATTACAGCTTTTTGGTATCGTTCACAAATAGATCTAAGCACACTTCCTTCCAGATAGTAATCGCTCGCCAGAACTTTCTCCCTGGCCCAATTCTATCCCACTTTGTTGCTTTAACAGTTCAGGTGCTAGCGATTAGAGTTTCAATACTTTTGAAACCCTTTCAATGTTAGTGACCTCCTTAGTTTTTTAATTCTTCTAACGTTCCAAGTGGTTTTACCCCTTTTGAAGCGGATTAAACGTCCTTCACTTTTCCAAACTGTCCCCGCTTTGATTCTCGTTAACCGAACACAAGAAAGGTCATTATTCAAGTAGTAGTATCGCAAGGAAGAAAAAGATTGAAAAGAGTAAAAATTTGGATGTTACTAACTTATCATAGCAATTTAGTGGCTCAACTTTTTCTTGCCTTTGAGTGATAAAAATTTTATAAAAAAATTTCAGCAGCGTTTGCTAGAACTCAGGCTAAAAGTAGAAGACAAAAAAGTCATTTCTTCAACTTTACACTTCTCATTGAGATTTTCCGTTTTCTATTCTTTCAATAGTGAAGTCTTATACATAGGTACATATTATGATTAGTTAACGAAATGTTACTTGGCATATTACTGGTTCCCGATCTCCTCATTCAAGCCTATGACTTTTTTTGTAAATAAAACGCAGAAAAACAAGTAAAGGAAAGGATTAATAGCTGAAAAAATTGAAGAACTTATGTTCAAAAAACGGCATCATGATTTTCGTCAGCCGGGCACAAAAAGGTTACTATTCAAGTAGTAAAAACGTCAGAAAGAAAAAAAAACAAAAGAGAATAAGAATAAAGAGAATACAAGTCAATCTAGTACCATAAATGTAGCTGCAGTCAGGTTGGAGACAGCCAGAAACATCAGTATGCTAGAACAAAAATACAATAAAGCCAAGCCAAACACTTTTACAGTATCCTTTGGTTGCTTAATGATCTGTTCGTACATCACTCTTAGACTTCTGGAAAATACTCTACTTTGTTAAATTTCGTTTAGCCGCAGCTGCTGTTGCCTTATACTTCAGTACTCGAAAAAAATGACCGTTACAAGCCTTTACGCTAAGCATCTGTTTAGGCTGATGTTTTAAAGTAATTTGTTGTTCTTCAAAAAAAAAAAAAACTAAAAATTGTTGAAGCAAAAAAGACAATGAATTAAGCTCTTTACTAATCATGACAGTTTTAGAATTTCTAGTTCGCATCTCCTTTTTTCCTTTTTAACAACCAAAGCAGCTGCATATGGCAAACTGTAAAAAGAAGAAACAACTAAACATTTTAAGAACTACAACAAAAAAAACTTGCCTGAAAATGCTTTTCTCTTTTATAAATATGCAGAAAGAACACGTCAATAACTTGACAATTTCTGTGAAAAGTACAGCTGTTGAGGAGAGGAACATTTCTTGTGGTCGTACCCGGATATATCGCATCAGAAGCACTTGACAAGAATTCTGCCCAGTAAGAAGTGATAACAATGCAAATTTCAACAAAAAAATCTCTGAAATACTAAAATTATTACGATAAAATTGATTGAGAAAATAAGTTGATTGCGTTCTTCATTCAGTTCCAATTCCTTCCTTAAAAAATATCACTTGTTTTTATTTATTTATCAAATTATTTCTGTCTATTTAAAAAATTTAGAAATTTGAATTTTCATTAAATTATTGAATAGCAACGAGTAGGATTCCAGAAACGCTTCGCAAAGAAAATCCATTCCGAGAAAATATTTTTTTTCGCGTTAGTAGCGTTTCTCTAAAAAAATTTTGTCT